CTATCCTTTTTCAAAATGACCAGGCATATGCATGAGTTCAAAGGGGGCAAATGGAGAAGATTTTGTAGAATAGGTGGCATTGAAAGGTTTGTGAAGGATTTCAATAGGGAGAGATTAAGGAGAGAAAACATTCCAGGCTGAAGAAATGAGCAATGGCGTAAAACTAAGGAAGAATAAATCATGAACAGGGAACTTCAATTGGTTGAAGTTACCTAGATTTCACAAGGGCGTAGAGGAAAATGAGAATATCGAAGTAGGATGGGTCACCAGTATGGAGCTTCTAGACAGTGGGCAGCCATGAAAGGCTTTTGAGCCAAGAGTTTCTCCTCAGAGCAATATGCAGATAAAGTCAGTCTGTTAGCGGTGTGCCAGGATGGAAGAGGGGAATAGAGGTGGCTATAATTTATGCACATAGTGGCAGTGGTAGGAGTATAACTCGAATGGCAACACTTGGGATAGAAGATAGGAGATGCATCTGTGAGATCAACTGTCAGTGAAGAAAGGACCAATCTAGATGACTGGTAAGTATTTGTTAAATGAGGGATGAAGAAAAAGGAAGAGTAAAAGATGACTCAGAGGCTTTGCCCTGTCTGTACTACGAGAAACCAGCAGGGAGTCCTGGGGGAGAAAGGATGTATGTAGCAAAGACCGATGGTGTAATAAGTTTTAGTATGTTGGAGGTGGAGGGCCCAGCTAATTGAGTAGGTATAAATGTTTCACAGGCAATTAGAACTAGCAGTAGAGACCCAGATTGTGACACTACTCAGACAGAGATGATTAAAGCCTTTGCAGTGGATAAAATCACTGAAGATTTAGGGCAGAACTCTGAGCAAGAGTAGTTAGTGGGCTGGAGAAGGTAAAGGAACAGGAAGGGTGAGAATGCAGAGCCACAGGACCAGAGCTGCGGAGTGTTTATGATTAACGATCAAATGCTGTTAGTATAAGCTGATCAAGAACTGGTGAATCTAGCCTCAGTTTCTTATAAAGACAATTTAATAGAGTGAAGAGAACATGGATTTGAAAATCAGACACAAGGTTAGAACTTGTCATTCTGACATCTTGTAGCTCTGTACTCTTAGGTAACTTCTGTGAATCTCTTTTTCCTCATCTGAAAAATGCAGACCCTGCATAAAATACTTGGCCTGAGCAATCTTCGTAAAGCTTTTTTTGTTTTCTTTTTTAAGAGACAGAATCTCGCTCTGTCATCCAGGCTGATCATAGCATCATATACAGTGAGCTATGACGACGCCACTGTACTCTAGCCCAGGCGACAAGCAAGACTGTCTCAAAAACACAAAACTGAACTTGAATCTTTATTTATCAAAGCTATTTTCTCCATTTTATCAC